AGGAACACGGTTGATCCCTGCAAGGCCACATGACCTCTTTTCGTTGTGAGAGAGATACAGTGAATAAATTGACATTCTCATAAATGTTTATGAGATTAGGCCTTTCCACTAGCCTTCTGAAGTGACGCACTCAAACAGTAATGGGCAGACAACCATGTAACTCTGTAAAACTCAGATCCGCCCGGATTGTAGAGCGTTTAATTGCTTGCAGTCAGCTGTGGACCTGTGGTGTTCAATGATGACTTATCCGAGCAACCAAATGTTAAGACTACGATTTTTTTGGCGGATGAGTAGAAGAACATAGCCGTGGTGGGGTCAGCAAAGCAGCATTCCACCACCAACTGCCATCACCTAACCATTTAAACTCAAAGGTCAGGATTAGGTGACCAAACCAATCCCTTTCATCATCTCTGTGCGTGCTTACGCACCCTCAAAGACGTTGCCACGCTCAGAAATCCCAAACGGCGCGGCAATAAAGCCCCAGGTGATGCATTGTTCGCTATAGCCGCCTGGCAGGCGCTATGCCCGCCCACTTCCGGAAGTGGTGCGTGGCTGGCTAACGTGTGAAATCAGCTGGGTTGATTGCCGTATCAACCGACGGCACAGAGCCAGCAATGGCCGGCATGTCCGAAAAATTCGTTTTGGACGTGCCTCTCTCCCAAGCCAGCCTCCTTACAGCTACACGGATTTCAGGGGGAGGGGTTTCAATTCGGCATTGTCAACGGTTTCTTTTCGTTTTTTCTCCACTATCGTTCCGTTTCACAACTCTACACTCAGTTCCAAATGCCTTAATACCCCATATCGAGCCCGACCATTTGCCTTCAAGTGATTCACAATGACCCTCAGTAATCTCACAATAATCTCCCTCAGAACAAGGTGAACTATACATCGTTGAAGTTTGGCACAATTACATGATAATACTCATTCTTTTCCCTCTGTCTACCAGTCCCACAACCTACCATCAACTTGCCATCTCATCCTAACTACAAACAAATGACCGAGTTTTCTAGAGTCCGTCTAGAAGATTTTCGTGCCACCTTTCCACCTCCTTGCTATCGCCTCCCTACCTTTGTTCAAAGCAAAATACAACCCTCTTCGTCCCACACTTCGAGGTTTCGGCGACGTTGACTTGCCTCACAGTCAGTTCTTCTAATCCTCAAGTGGCTAAGAGGTGGTCCCAGAATTGTACATCGTTTTTTGCTCATTAATGGAACAGTTGACATCGATCTGCGTCCTGAACAATGTCCTTAGCCGTTCATGTACTTCCTTAGTACACTACCAGAGACGTGACGCTTATCTCAGATGCTGCACTTGGCGTTCTGTTTTATGGCTAATAAAAACGCACTGCTTGATCAGATTATCGCTTTATCTGCAAAGATAGGTGCCGCAAAGATGTAATGGTCTCAGAGAATGATATCTTGAGAAAATGCCTCCTCATTATACGAAAGCTGCAAATTACTCTGAGAAATAGCCTGGATTATTATTGAATTGCACATAATTGAATCTTTGAGCATTTCAGGGTTTCCTTGAACTTGTAAATGCCGGAAATCTCACCGAAGAAAGCACTTATACCTTCAATGACGTCACCTACTCCTTGCAGCTGATTGATAACTCGTCCACGCCTAAGTGCACCTACTATTTATCGTATTATGACAAGCTGTTCCGCAAGGGAACAATCGATGGCAAGGAGGTGAGACAAACCAATAAATGAAGCAAAATGTGGCTGGAATAATTGAAGGCGGAGTTTACGACCAAAAAACGGCATGCAGGTGTAGGTAGAGGTGGTCAATAGTGCCAGGATGAAGAAAAACCAACAAAACCGGCACGAGCTAGAGAAATGGGAAACCTTTCTTGCCTATTAATTTCCGCATTGATGAGACTCTCGTCGGTGCTGCCCCCTTTCAACGCTAATGCTCCGCTGAACGGCAATAGACCTGCGGCGAATGCTTAGGCCGATGTCAGACTTTGCGAATCGCGCGATTCGCTAGCGTCTGCGGTCGCGTCGCGGCCAAT